CCCCGTCCTCCCCCTGTGCAATCGGGGCACCTCCTCCCCCCTCCCCCCCGAGTAATCGGCACCCCCAGGAGTAGCCTGTTTCCCTCCCAGCAAAGACACGTGGCCACGTGTGCACCAGCGACTCTCAAGCGTGCCACCACCTTGAGATCCTCTCTGAGACACTGCGGGTGCCGGGTTCGCCGCCTGTTGTACAAACGTGAGTCACCAAAAAGACCCAGAGATTTCAACCGGGAACTCAGAGCATCCTGCCCTGGCGTGGCCCGCCTGAGTCCTTTACCACACAATTGCTCTGTGATTTTTCTGTGGTCAAAAAAAAAAGTGACAAGGGAGAGCTAGTAGAAGTAGAAGAGATGCCTGGAGCCTATCAAAAGGTGCCTTGAGTCTAGAAAGGGCTGAGAAACGCTTATCAACGTTTCTTTGTCCGTGGGGTGCCCCTGTCCCAGCCGCGGTGCCCAGCGCTCCAGTGCAGGCGCCAGCTCCCTCCGTGCTGTTGCAGGCTGTTGCCAGCCACCAGCTTACACCCAGGCTGCTCTGCCGCTAATATTTGCAGAGCACTTTTTAAACTCAAAACACAGCCTCTATGCTATGCCTTATTATTGATAAACCACCGTGTAAATAATGTCCAGTTGCTGTCTATTGTCCTTGTGGTTATTTGTGTTTGATAACACAACCATCACTTGAACCACACACTGTTTCTCCGTCAAATGCCATTTGTTTCTGTTTGGCTAACGGCTCTTAATTTCTTTAATATGCAGCTTGCAAAGTGAATGCATATGCATTTAATGGCTCTCTGCGGTAGGAACATGATTCTTTTTGGCTTCGTCGCTCTACGGCCTCTTTCTGTACATGTGAATACTGTATATAGACTCACAGATGTTAGGGGCTGGAAGGGACCTCACAAGATCATTGGGTCCATGCTTAACTTTAAGCCGCTAAATAGTCCCCTTGAGGAGAACAGGATGGTTTATGTGCTCAAAGTATATAAAAGTTGAGGTATAACTGGCCACTTCCGAGCCCTGCAAAGTGACAGTGGGGCAGGAGCCAGAGGTCTCCTGCTGTGAAGGGAGAAGTTGCCCCTCTGACACTTCCCCCCTCTGCAGCACCCTGTTTCTGCTGACTGCTCCCCCTGCCCCAGGTGCTGTCATCACCTAGGCATTGCCAACCCCATTGCTGTGGCTCTGCCTTGCCCGTTTTTGGAGGGGGAGCTGCTGTCTGGTGTAGGAGAGGGAGAGGGGGAGAAACAAAAGGAGAAGGCGAGGCCCCAACCCACCCATAGCCAGCACCCACTACTGATTTTTATCTGGCCAGATTTTCATGGCTTGGCTTCACGGAGACTATTCAACCGCTGAATATTAAAAAATATGCCCAAGTGCTTACAGGCTTGGGCTTTTTTCCAGTTAAATACAGTTTTGATATGCTGTCAGAAATCCCTGTATCTGCATTCATGAAAATGTATGCAAGACTTTTGCCTGAAAGGGGCTCCATAAACATAAACATTTGGCTGTACTGCCCTAGCTGCAGTTACTTCCACTAATATTATGACTGCAATTAAACAGAAGAGCTCGGAGAAAGAAAAAAGGAAATATTCCCTGCCCGTCCCAGTGTGTTCATGCAGTGCTTTGGAGGTTTCGCTATTTCTCCTGCTAGGGGATGCAGATGTAACACTTGATGTGGCTTTTAACTGTTTTTTAACTGCTTACATTTCAAGTGGATGGTGTCCCCTTAAGGGTTTGTAAAAAGAGATGCGTTCTTTCAGTATGTCTTACTTTTGGACCAATGGACCTCGTGGCATTGCAGCCCCAAGAAATATGTGCAACAATTTTACACCTTGGGCTTGGTTCCTAGAGGAAAATAAATAGCTTCCATGCCAGGACAGAGCTGGGACATGGTGTACCCTTGGAAAGCTGGGCTTATTTGGCCAGTCTAGTATCAAAGGGAAAAAACAACGACTGTGTGTGTATGTCATAAGCTTAATGTTAATATAGTAATAAGAGACTGTTTGCTTTTTGATTATGCTGCAGTTTCTCTTGAGCAGGAAACTATGGACCTTTGAGACATAGCAGTGCAATTTAGAAACATTGCCTATGGCACATGCAATACCTGCTTTTTGGTTCTTTATCACATTCTTCTCACCTGAGGTTGAAGAACTGCTGATTTACCTCTGGCTCTGAGGAACACCAGACTTGGCCTCTGCTGCCTGGTATTTTGGAGGAGCAGGGGAATTTTCCAAAGCACTCCTTGTAAGACAGACCGCTCCTTCCCTAACAAGGTGTTACTGCAGTTTTATGTACAGTGATTCTGAGCACTGACCTATGGGACGTGGGCCAGAACTGGCTTCCCTGAGGTCCCATCTGCAATAAAGGTTTTTAGAGCACTTGACCATCAGGGGCACAGACAGAAGTGATAGTTTTTGCCCAGTCGGGCCACAGAAAGCAGTCTATAGTTGTGACCAAACACAAGTGCACGGCTGCAGACTGCTTCAAAAATGGCCAGTTGGGCAAAAATCTGAACCCTCGTTGTATGAGGGGTCAGATGAGGACGTTTCAAAACAGCATGTTTTGTAACTTCTGTCTGCGCTGTAGGTGGTAAGAAAGCTGGTAATGACTTGTTTGCAGCTGGTTTCTAGAATGAAACTTGGGTGCACTACCCATCCACTGCTCTAATCTGAGGGGTAACCTTACCCCCGGAGTAGAAGAACCGATACCAGTGCCTGACTGTCTGCGTATCTGCTCCTCATTTACACCTGAGGCAGGTCACACTGGTACAAATGTGCCTTGTGTTCACAGCCTTAGGGCAGCTGCTCCCATCTGTGAACAGCAAGTCATTTTTTTAAGGTCCCATTCAGGACCTGCTTCAGCAAAAGGTGAATATGGCTTTACTTTTGTGGGTAGTTTAATTGAACAGCTCAGTGTAAAATTACCCATGCTCATTAGTGTTAAAAGATAAAGGTTAAACAGGTATTCCCCTCCCCGCCCCCCCACCCTTTTGCACAGGTGCAAACGATTGTGCAATGTAGGAGGCAGTGGAAAATCAGGCCCCCATAACCCCATTCCTGCTAAACCCTGGGAGTTTAGTTATCAGCTGCTTTTGTTTCAGGATCAGCCCAAAGCCTGTGTTAAACAAACTGAACCAATTCTTACGCTTTTGAATGGCTTCCTGCTTCTTCAGCTTCATGAAAACCCTTCAGGGAGGGGACAGAGATCTGGTTTGGATCTCATTTTCATGTTTCCAGTTTATGAGAAACTGGAACACCACCTGTGCAAAAGGTAGTGGTGATGGGTAACTGTCTAACCTTAATCTTTTAAACACTGATGGGCATGGGTCATTTTACCGCTGAGCTGCCCCAGTTAAACTACCCACATAAGTAAAACCACTTGTATTCACTCAGCAGTGAGCTGTTGGCACGTGTTCACTGCATATGAATAACCATTTCCAAGGTCCGGCCCACAACCTACAAGCTAATTTGTCTTGTGGGAAGCGTTCTGCCTTGTGCAACCCCGTGCGCTACAGGAGTCCATCTGCATAAAGCAGCTTGGAGAATCAAGGGGCACATCCACACGAGATGCTTAATGCACACTGGACTAATTCTGTGGTGCATTAGCGCAGCTGGCAAAAATCATGCTAATGTGCAGTAGATTACTCCAATAAGCATTAAGCGTCATAAAAAAAGCATTCTTTTGCACTAATGCGCAGTAGTGCTGATTACAGCGCATTAAGTTAGTACCTGTTATTACAGGTACTAAATGTGCCGTAATTATGGTGTATTAATGAATGTGTAGATGCACCCATGGGGTAGCAATCTGAGATACTGCCTTCTACTATCACCTCCCTCAGACACGTAGCAGTAACTCATAACCCTGCCAACAGAACAGTGGTGGTCCCAGGCCTGCAAATGCTTTTTCAG